CTCCTTCATCCCGGACGCTCACTCGCGTTCCGTGTTCCTAATCTGAGGCTTAATACATGCAATTATTGAGCTGGAGATTAAGGGGCGGAACACGGGTGAGCATTCGGGATGAAGGAGAATTCGGAAAGATGCAGATTTTCCCGATAAAGCATTTCCTTATATATTCATGACATATTAAGAACTCGAGAAGTGCTGCCCTTGGCGGCAGATCCCTTGCTCACCTTAGATGCCCTGTAACAAGTGCACAATGTGTCAATGTTAACCGGTGTCATCTTTGAGAAAAAATTGCCTCCATTGCATTTGCAATCAGTGTTGCATGCCCTAGATTTCAAACTTGGGTTAGCCACTATGAAAAACTATATATATCAATTATTTAATCAATATATCACGCAAGAATTGTTCAAGCGACACACAGAACATGGCACTGCCATAAACATGCTTGTGATTTCAGGAGCAGAAGGGTATATGACAGAATCTGATATACTGCCATAGCATCTGGATAGCAACAATGAAAGGAAATGAAGGAATGAAATCTCAGAGACTGTCACAAACTGTAATATTCCACATTATTTTATTGCTCGCTTTGTGATCACGTGACTATTCACGTGCTCACTCACGTGTATATCTTAAGCGCACATATCACGTGCCAGACCTCATACATCATAGAACAGGTACTAACTATTCTGCCTAATAGATAAGGTGCCATATCCGAAGACTCAAGATCTGGTTGCCTATCCACCAACAGGATAAGCTCCTACAACACCGTGGGATACGGAGCTCCGCCACCTGGGAAGGTGGTCCTATAGTTAGAATAGTTATGGTCAGGAGGCATAGCCCTTGACCCTGTAGCTGCATGGCAAGGTCTCATGATAGCATTGTATGACTTCGTAGATTAATGCTATTGGCTTATCTCAAGATAGCTCGCAGGTAACACCGAGCTTCACCTATCTTTAGAACGTGTGCTGAGTCACCGTTCACATGGACCCACTGTAGGCATGTCCATGGTCCCGGTAGACAGTGTATCAGGGGTCTGACCCTGCTTGTATATATACTGGGGTCATCTGGGTTTACACCCCCAGACTTATCTACCTTCGTCAATACTCGATACACTTGACTGCAGCTGCGACTTCCCCTACAAGTCCAGCTCACCTCTTATAGTCTGCGACCTCCGTCACTTCACCTTATCCAACATAAGCAAGTAAGACACTTTGGACTTTGCCTGATATTGGGTCTCCGTGACAGAGACTGAGGTTGAATTGAGATGAGCTTTGACAGTGGACATCCAGCAGATGAGAAGATGGCAAAACAGATACTATGCATGATGCCTCAGGGCATGGTTAAGACAAACATCATGAAGTAGATCCGACAGCGACGAATTGAAGAACACGAAGGAATATAAATTGAACAGCAGAGAATGATAAGCCACTCTGAGCAAATACTGCCAAATAGTGGAAAGCGCCTGGCGTTCATTTCGAGCCTGAGAGCCTTGCTCTGGTGAGCAAGGGATCTTATGTAACCTTTTTGCCACATGAGTCCGGACTCTCTTTTGGGAGAGTCCGTACCTCGGCTTGTCCCCAAGCCTCCGATCGGTGGCTCGGTGATCTCAATAGCATTGTAATCATGCTTAACTTATGCGTCAAATTCACTTATTATCAACTACAGCCGAATTCGTAGCAACAGCAGTGCACACGAGGTGGTAGGACGAGAATTTGGGACATCGTGTTCCTGCCAGTCGAATGTGTTTGAGTACGTGCTGATTGAGGCTCGCGCTGACCTCGAGGCGTCGCGGTTGACGGCAACGCGTTGGCTTTGTCAGACTTAGAGAAAGAACGTCACATCGATTCGATTCGATTCGTCTCTCCAACAGACTACATGACACGTTTCCAACTAATGCTTTGTCAATACTAATAGTACAGGAATATTCTCCGGGACGCCGGGCTGGAAGAAGTGCTCGTCGCAATCGATAGTCGTCAGCCGAGTGTACATTTCCCATCGACATAGCAAGGGCAGTGCACTCATGATGTCATGCATATCACAGGAGCCTCTATCACACATACCTTCCACTCAACCTACACGAGTCCAAGCTGCGCTGCATCGCTTCTCAGACTGGCTTTCCGGACTGGGAGTCGTGGAATCTCCGCGGCTGGCTCAGCTGATGGTGCAGAGTCTCACGGCGCGCGTGCACCAGGCAGCACTGCAGCGGCTGGCGGGAGCATACCGACGTCTATGCGAGGAGGTTCGGAGGCCGGAGAACAGATACCAGGCGGCGGCAACACTAGTTTCAATCAGGAAGCTGTATCGGTCGGCATGACGCACGTGCTGACGCCCCAGGACAACATCATCTCGTCCTATCGCACACATCCGTTCGCCGTCTTGCGCGGTGGGAGCGTCTTTGCGCTCGTCAGCGAGCTTCTCAGCCGCAAAACCGGTATCTCGAAGGGCAAGGGTGGCTCCATGCATGTCTTTATGGAGTCCTTCCAGGGCGGGCACGGTATCGTTGGCGTGCAAGTCCCGCTTGGTGCTGGCCTCGCGTTCGCAGCGAAGTACCTGGAAAAGCCAATCGCGACGTAGACGATGTATGGCGATGGCGCGAGTAACCAGGGACAGGTGTTCGAGGCTTTCAACATGGTGCGTTTGTCGTTACTCACAATCCAATCTAAAGCTCACTATGCCATACATATCTGTGATGATAGGCCAAGCTATGGAACCTGCCATGCGTGTTCGTCTGCGAGAATAACAAGTACGGGATGGGTACCCCGGCAGAGCGGAGCTCGTCCAACACTCAGTATTATACTCGTGGTGACCAGATCCCAGGCATTCAGGTAACATATTCCTTGCAGCACCCTAGATCAGTACTAACCCTGTATCTAGGTGAATGGCATGGACGTCCTCTCGGTCGTGAAGGCTGTGGAGCACACCAAGCAGTGGGTTCTGGATGGAAAGGGCCCTATAATACTTGAATTCGTCACGTACCGCTACGGTGGTCACTCGTACGTCGCGCCCTCACTATCTCTCACAACCACAATGATGGATC